CTAAAATTACAAAATATCCTACAACAGGTAAAAATATACATTGATATATTTGAACTCAACTAATATTCAATCTGAATAAACATTCCAAAGAAGATAAATGAAGAAGAATGATGAACAATGGAACCAGGAAACTTGGTTAAACATGAACCACTCATTACCATGTGTTCAGGAAATCTAATGTCTCTATCAATAATTCTTTAATTTTTTGTTACATTTTTATTTATTTTGGGGGGTGGGGGAGCAGAGCATGGGAGCCACAGCATGCATGTGAAGGTCAGAGGACAACTTGCAGTAGTCAGTTCTATCCTTCCACCATGTGCATCCAGGGAATAGAACTTAGGTCTTCAGGTTTGATGGTAAGCACCTTCACCCACTAAGCCATCCCACAAGCTACAATAAATACTTACTGGAGTAAAAAAAATCATCATCATAATAGCCTAGATCTCATTTTCCAGGTTAATTCATAGAACTTAGGTCTTCAGGTTTGATGGTAAGCACCTTCACCCACTAAGCCATCCCACAAGCTACAATAAATACTTACTGGAGTAAAAAAAAATCATCATCATAATAGCCTAGATCTCATTTTCCAGGTTAATTCATTAATAGCAGTGAAAGGAAGCAAAAGAGAAAGTAAAAATATTATAACTATGGTTCAAAACCTTGGGATGTAGCTCAGTTGGTAGAGTGTTTGTCTAATATGCATAAGGCAGTGGCTTCAAGCACTACATAAATCAGGTATAGTAGCGCACACTTGTAATTCCAGAGCTTGGAAGGTGGAGGCAGGAAGATTGGCAGTTCAAGATCATCCTCAGCTCCATAGGGAGTTTGAAGCAAACCTGGGCTATATGGCACCATCCTCAAAAAAATAAATAAATAAATACTAAGTAAATACTGAAATAAGCCTGGGAATCTAGCTCAGTGGCAGAGTGCTCAGTACATTCTAGCATGCCTAAGGCCCTGGAGTTGATCCCCAGTACCACAAATAATAATAAAATTTTTATATTCTTCTGAGTGTAAAGTTGGACGAAGAGACAAAGTGAATGTTGAATTCCAGAAACATACAAAGAAATACAAGCCTAAATATAGTTGCTAGCAATTTAAAGGTAAGCAAATAAAGGAGAAATTAATCATTGTAATAAATTATATTAGACAATATGAAATCTTTACAGCAAAACTGAGAAAATGTGAAGAATAAAAAGAAAGTATAATAAATAGGAAAAATTGTTTAAGCCTGGCATCGTAGCGCATACTTTTATATCCCAGCACACAGGAGACTAAGATGTGAAGGTCATGAATTTGAGTCCAGCCTGACCTACATAGTGAGAGCTTTTCTCAAAAGATCAAAAGAAAATAACACTGAAGATGGAGGGATTAAAGATCGGATAAGTGAAGATGATAATTGCAAATGGCTGATTCTCATTATTACACAAAAACTCTCAGGCTAAGTAAACTAATTTAAAAACAAATCATAAATATTTTTAAATTATAGCTATTAACAGAAGAACACTTAAAATATAAATGGACATGAAAAGGTTAATCATAAAAATATGGGCAAAGATATAGCAGGCAAATTCAATTAAATGAAAAGAGGAAGACCCATATTTTATCCATAACACTGTCTACATGCACACAGTGTGATATTTCATAATGATTAAGGATAAAATTACAAAGAACACAGCAATCAATATTTGTCTGTGGAACCACCTACGACTAGTATTTTTAATATTTTATTAGTTTTGTTTTTATTTTATGTGTATGAGTGCATTAACTGCATGGGTGTAAGTGTACTTGTGTCATGCAATTCCATGAAGGTGAGAAGAGCGTGTCAAATCACCTGGAACTGGAGTTATGGATGGTTGTTAGCTGCCATGTGCGTCCTGGGAACTGAACTTGGGTCCTCTGCAAGAACAGCCAGTGCTCCTAACTGCTGAGTCATTTCTCCAACCCCATAACCAATATTTTTAAAATAATTTTTAGAAATATATATTTTCAGGGTTGGAGAGATGGCTCAGGACTTAAGAGCATTTGCTGCTCTTGCAGAGGACCCAGGTTCAGTTCCTAGCTCCCACAGGGTGACTAACAACCATCTGTAACTCCACTTCCAGGAGATCTGACGCCTTCTTCCGACCTCCACAAGCACTGCCCAACAAGAGTGCACTTTCATGCATGCATTACACTCACACACATAAAAAATAAAATAAAAATAAAATGTTTCTAAAGAAATATATAAGTTCATAAAACTATAATCACCTAGGAAATTCTAATAGACCTATCATATACTCTGTCAATATCAAGAAGATATATAATAAATAATGAGTTAAATAATGTATTTGCCAAGTTTAGTGTTAAGAAATAGAATTTGGGGCTGAAGAGATGAAGCAACCATTAAAGGCTAAATCGTCAAACAAATAGAATTGCATATACTGGATAGAGCATTTCCTTAAGTGTTCTAAGAATAGTTCCAAAAGCTGATCTAAAAAGCTAATAATTTTAAAGCTTACGTGCTCTATCACCTAACCACAATTTTACAGTAACACGAGAAATTGACAATAAGTAAGTGTGAACTTTTAAGCATCAAGAGGACATTAAAATTGAAATACAATTTGAAGGCTACAGAATATGGTTAAAATCTATAAGATGCAATGAAAATCATACTCTGAAGAAAATCCACTCCTGAAAAACAATCTTAAAGGAAATTGAAGGTAAACAAATACTTTCAGTTTAAAATGTTGAATTATGAAGAGTGTGAAGTCAAAATAATGCATGGCTTAGAAATTTAAATACAGGAAAATGAACATATTAAATCTATAAACGCAGAATTTGGTATTACTAAAGCATCTTCCTTCCGAGGGAGTGCTGGTATTAGAGGTGTGTGCCACCGTGCTCAGTTTATGCAGTTCTAGGGATCAAACTCAGGGTTTTGTGAATGCTAGGCAAGCACTCTAGCAAGTGAGCTACATCTCCAACCCAGACTTCTATAGTTTTCAGATATTTCCATGGTTTTAATTTTTTACCCTTAAATATACAAAGCATAAAGGATTAACAGCATGTATGCTGAAGTGGAAAAGAGAATATTTGAGTTATTGTTCTATCAATGTCTGATTTGGAGATCTTAGGCAAGACACTTTTTCCTGTGTCTTAGTTTCACCATTTATAAAATATGGGTATTTCTTTAATGAGACTGTTTAAATTTAACAGTTTAAGAAAAAAATCTTTTAAAAATATTTTTATCGTATTTTTGTGCATTTCATATAATAGATTTTAATCAGCCAGGCATGGTGGCACACGCCTTTAATCCCAGCACTCGGGAGGCAGAGGCAGGAGGATCTCAGTGAGTTTGAGGCCAGCCTGGTCTACATAGTGAGTTCCAGGCCAGCTAGGGTTACAGGGAGACCCTGTCTCAAGAAAAAAAGACAATAAATAAATGGATGGATGGATGGATGAATAATAAATAAATAAATAGATTTTAATCAAATTTAGAATCTCTCCCCCATTCATGCCTACCCATACTCCCCCCTGACCATATTTAAGGCATTCTGTCATATATGTTAAGTCCCACCTGGTCAAGCAATGCCCAGATGTTCCTTGGTGTAAGTTCATCCACTGGAGTCTAGTCAACCTATCTAGAGTCACTCCCTTAAAGAAGCTCTACTTTCCCTCACCCTGCAGTAATCGGTTGCCAATAGTTCCTAGGCTAGGATTGGGGCTTACTGCCCATTTCCCTCATTCTATGCTGTGTTTTTGTCTGAGTCAGCATGGGTCTTGTGCATGCTGTCACCATTGTTTCAAGATCCCAGTGGCCTGAAGGCTTCTGTTTCCTTATGTTCATACACCCATCATGGTTCTTACAATCTTTCTGCTCCCTCTTCTGCAATGGTCCCTGAGCAGTGGGTGGTGAGGTTTAATATAGGAGTCCTATCCAGGGACACGCACTCTACAGAGTGCTCGCTTACCATGAGAGCCCTGAGTTTGATCCCCATCAACACCTACCCTTCAAACAAAATAAAAGAGAGAGAGACAGAGACAGAGAGACAGAGACAGAGACAGAGCAGAAAGAAAAGGAAAGAATGACAAGAGAACAAGAAAGACTGGAGAGATAGCTCAGTGGTTAAGAGCACTTGATGCTATTGCAGAGGACTGGGGTTTGATTCCCAGCAGCAAAATGGTGGCTAACAACCATCTGTAACTCCAGGTCCAGGCAACCTCACTAACTTTTCTGGCCTCCTTAGGTGCTGCATGCATGTGGTACACTTACATGAAGGTGAAACACTCATACATATAAATAAAATATTTTAAAAATAACAAAGGAAATCGAGCATGGTGGCACAGGCCTTTAATCCCAGCACTCCAGAGGCAGAGACAAGCAGATTTCTGTGGGTTCAAGGTGTGCCTGTTTTACATATCGAGTTCCAGGTCAGCCATGATTACATAGTGATACCTTTCTCTCAAACAAAAAACAAAGACAAAATGACCAAATACTGGGGGAGCGGGGAGGCTGGAGAGGTGACTCAATGGTTAAGAGTACTTGCTGCTCTTATGGAAGACCCAGGTTTGGTTCCAGAACACATACATGGTAACTCAAAACGTCTGAAACTCCAGATCCAGGGAATCCAATGCACTCTTCTGGCCTCTACAGGAACATCAATATAGGCAGACAAAACACTTATACACATAACAATAAATAAATCTTTTTGAAAAACTAATTGATACAGTCTGGTGCTTGCCTTGTTTGGGCATAAATGGGTAGCCTGGAGCACAGTATTAGCTAAGAGTTTAGTTGCTATGATCAACTGAAGCTCAGTTGCTTTTAGTTATGTTACTGCTTGCTTGAACATCAAGGTAGATAGATACACAGGCCTCTTTGGGCCAAAATCATTACCCAAGTACAGAACCAGAGATAAATTTTTCTGGGATAATAACAGCACCATTCGAAGGACTAGGCAGTGTGGCCACTTGAAGTGCCCCACCCCACCACTGGGGAGTCTGAGGCAGGAGGCTTACTTGAGCTGGAGTTTAGGGTCATCCTATGCAGCGTAGTAAGTACCTGTCTCAAAAACAAATACGCAAGGATTAAGGAAGTCAAAGTTTACAATTGTGTAGTCCCTACCCAAAGCCCAACACATAGTCCACAGGAAGTTTTAGCTATCATTCTTATCTAGACCTGCTAATCTCTGTCTGTAATGCAGAAAAATGGAGTTCTGAGTAGTGCTCTGGTAAATCTACTGATGACTTATATTGAACTAATATTTTCACCAAACAGAGTCTCCCTTGTAGGACTCACCTCATCTTGCAGGTTCATCACCAGAATTTTAGATTTTTCTTAGATGACTCATATGCTTTTCTGGTTTCCCCTTATTTATTTCTGAGTAATTTGCAATTGTTATTGAGGACAGCATTTTTTCTTGTTATTATGATTTTGAGTTTAAAAATATACTTATCAGTAAATCTTCCTAGTATTAAGAGAAAGTGACTGTTTTAATCAGACTTGGTAATTGGTTACTTCACTGAACCCCACATTAATTCTGATAGTCTATTTCTCTTGAAAATTGTTGTGTCGTCTGCTTTTCCTTTCCTAATTTTTATTTTCATTTTTTATTCTCTCATTGCATCTGACACATTTTTGTCTTTTAGTTTCAGTGTTTACAGTGCATTATCAGTATTACATTGACTTCCTTCCTTCTTTCCTTTTTGTTTTTTAATCAGGGTCTCTTACAGTCCAGTCTAGCTTCAACCTCCCTGTGTACTCAAGGGTGACCTTGAACTCCTGACACTCCTGCCTCTCTACTCCCATGTGCTGGTATTACAGGTGTGAGCCACAATGTCTGATGTTCATTTTTTAGAAATAGAACACTTAGTATTTGCTTGGTTTCTCAGACTTTGCAATCAGAAATATTATAGTTTGTCATACATCTTCTTTTATAGGCATTTAATAGGATGATACTTATTATTTTAAAAACTCTAACCAGTTATGGTTATAAACTTACCAATGCTGAACCATTCTTACATTAGGTTTTAATTTGGAAAAGGAACTAGGTTAAAGCAAATTGGTATGTTAATGCATTGCTCATTTTGATCTGTCAATGATTTGTATATCTGACTCTAAACTCCTAAGTGAGAATACAGCTGTATTATCTTGTTCCACTTTTGGTATGAGTGGTAAAAAAGCCCTCTTATATTACCCAAGAACTTTCCTTTTCTATCATTTGGAATAGTTTAAATAATAGAATTACTTATTCCTAAATGTTTGAGAAAAATGTAAGCTTTAAAATCAGTTTTTGGTGATCGATCTTTGATGAGCTTTTTGATATCTTTTATTTATAGTGTTTACTGCTTTTAAAATCCATTTTGAATAGATATAGCTTCATGTGCATGTAAAATGAGTTATTTAGTCTAAATTTTGGAGGTATAAAATTGTACATACTTTTCTTCTTTAACCTTAGAAAGTCTCTTCTGTGTTTAATCATTTATACTGCATAGCTTTGTTTTCTTGTCTTGGCCAGTTATGAAGGGTTTTAACATAGGCTTTACCTCCTGGCTGAGTGCTAATATTACAGATATGTACCACCATGTCCAGTATATATAAGATGGAGATTATTTGGTTTTTCTATTTGTTGTTGCTGTTATTGTTCAATTATGGACCACCCTTTCTTTGCCATAGGCCATCAAATAACAAAGAAAAACCTAACTATTCTGCTATACATAAACTATTAAAGTTTTATATAGGACTAAAAAGACACTAGAAAAATAAGTGAAAGAAAATGACAAAAATATTCATAATATTCACAAGAAATAGGTACTATCCATACAATGCAAAAAGTTTCTACATATCAGTTTTATAATAACCTTAAATAAAACAAAAGTGTTAATCAGTTCACAGGGTAAAACTAGTAAATCTCAAGAAATAAAAAATATTCAATTTTACCTAATCTGTACAATTAACTTTACTAACTCCTTAAATATTATGACACACATTTACTTGCAATCACATTAAACTATAATCATTAGGCACACACCTTTAATCCCAGCACTCAGGAGGCACAGGCAGGCGGATCACTGTGAGTTCAAGGCCAGCCTGGTCTACA